GAATCAATATGACATTAACATTTTGAAAATTTGCCGACATTAACAAAATTAATTACATCAACATTTGAGATTATTACACAGTGAATAAAATTATTACTCGTTTCATGTTGTTTATAAATTATTCACGCAATTAATAATAATGTAACCGTGCTACGTACGTACGACCTGATCTACAGTCTGACCTCATGCTATGATGTCATGTATGTGCGTGGTGTTGTCTGGTGTGGTTTATTTAGTTGGATCGTTGTAATCTTCCTGAGTTTAGTAACCTGCATAATCTGATGTAACTCACTCTGAATATTAGTATAATATATGTAGATAAACTTAAGAGAAGTAGCAAGTAGAAAGAAATTCAATAATGTTACGCAATAATGCAATGACATGATCAGTAGAGCTTGTTGCAAATGAAGTAATGCATATAATGTAGGTAACCTAGTGTAATGTAATGTAATGTAATGACACGACATACCCATGCAGATGACATGTGGCTGCTCCTGCCTGGAAACACTGCAGCCTGTACTTCATCCAAAGGTTTTCTATTCAATTACAATGTTATGTTTTCTTGTTCGTTGTTTGTTTGTTCGTTGTTTGTTTGTTCGTTTGTATGTCGAAACATTTGTTAATTGTTCACCGCTGGCTCTACTTTGCATTGGTTTGAGAGTTGTGATTATGAGCTTGTTTGTTTTTTATTAACTTGTCATTCATTCATTCATTCAATTGCTTGCTCACTTGCTGCTTAGCTGGTCACTCTGATGTTTAGTCTTTTATTGCATTTTGATAACCTCCTTTGGTTGTTCATTTATTCATTTTTTAATTTCTTTAATTATTCATACATGCATTCATTTATTTCTTAATTAATCAATTCATCCATCTATCAATCCGTCCAACCACCAACCCATCTACCCAACCACCAACCCATCCACCCATCCACCAACCCATCCACCAACCCATCCATCCACCAACCCATCCACCCATCCACCAACCCACTCATCCGTCTACGCACGCAGGCATCAGACCTGATCATGAAGTACGACGAGCACGTCCTCACTGATACGTACAAGATCGGAGTCATCTATCAAAAGATGGGACAGGTAGATGTTGTTGTTGTTGATGTTGTTGCTGTTGTTGGTTGATGTTGTTGTTGCTGTTGATATTTCATTGTTGTTGTTGTTGTTGTTGGTTGATGTTGTTGCTGTTGTTGGTTGATGTTGTTGCTGTTGTTGTTGGTTGATGTTGTTGGTTGATGTTGTTGCTGTTGTTGGTTGATGTTGTTGCTGTTGCTGTTGTTGTTGGTTGATGTTGTTGTTGGTTGATGTTGTTGTTGTTGTTGTTGATGATGAAGATGATATTTCATTGCTGCTGTCGTTGTTGTCATCATCATTGCTGTTGTTGTTGTTGTTGTTGTTGTTGTTGATGATATTTCATTGTTGCTGTTGTCTCACCTCTGTTCATTGCTGTCGACACGTTCATCCGTTATGTTAAGTTTCTCGGTTGGTTCATCAGTGTGGTCCTGCACGGTGGTAGCTTGGTCGGTTCGTTGTTTGTCCGTCTTTGTTTGTTTGTTGGTTATTTGGTTCTCTTTGCTGGTTTGTTTCAATTGATGGCAACGAACATTAGAGATGCACCAAATATTCGGTCTGACCGTATATGTTTATTTATTTATGGTTCGGCTTCTGCCATTTTTTAAAGCCGAATAGCCAAATTTGCAACTTCCGTTCTAGCCACCAATAATTTTTTGGCTCCAGGACATTGGTGATTATTATTAGCGGAAAATTTATTTTGGTTATTGTAGCTTTTAAAGCGTCTAAAATAGAACAGGAGACTGAATGTTATCCTTCCTGACAGAGAATTTTTGGATAGAAGTACATCGCTTATTGTTTTCTTCCATGACTTGTTTTCCATTCCAACAAAAATAAATTTTTTTTATTTGGGTTTTTTGGCCATCAATTTCGGCTTTGATCGGTTCAGTTAGTGGATGAATTTTCATGGCCTTCGAATGAATTCGCCATTCGGTGCATCTCTAAAAGACATCTTAAGAACACCGAGCGTTGTGCTACTCTGGGCTGATCTTGCTTACTTCAAATTTTAAAATTGTTTTCATCATTATTATTTTTATTATTGTTATTATTTTTATTATTATTATTAACACTAGATGTCATACACTCAATGTTCTATTTGTTATTTTTCTTTTTTTTTGTTTTATGATTATTGCGATATTATTGTTGTCGTTGTTGTTGTTGTTGCTGTTGTTGTTGTGAATATTTGCACTGTGCACTCAAGTGCGCTTGCCCTATTGATTTCCATATTGACGTTTCGTCTTCACGATATTTTGGGTTTGTATTGAAGGTTGATATTGTTTCAATTTGTATGTCGTCCGTATGTTGTTTGTATGTTGTTTCTATATTGTTTGTATAATGTTTGTATGTCGTTGGTACGTTGTCTTTATGTTGTTTGTATGTCGTTGGTATGTCGTTTCTATATTTTGTGTATGTTAGTACGT